CCCCGCCATCGCTGGCTCCTCCCTGCTCCCCGCCATCACCGGCTCCACCCCTGCCCAGGCCTAATGACCGAGGCGTTAGGCCTGAGCAGGGGACCCCCAGCTTCCCACCATCGCTGGATCCGCCCCTGCTCCCCGTGATTGCTGGCTCCGCCCCTGCCCAGGCCTAAGCCTGTGGCCGAGGCATTAGGCCTGTGCAGGGGACCCCCAGCTCCCTGCCATCGCCGGCTGTGCCCCTGCCCAGGCCTAACTCCTCAAGGCGTTAGGCCTGGGCAGGGGACCCCTCAGCTCTGATTGCAGGCTCCGGTTGCCGCTGGGCGCCTACGTATGGAAATTAACCACCATCTTTGTTTGGTTAATTTGCATACTCATCCAATTGGCTGGTGAGCATAGTGAAGGTATGGTCAATTTGCATATTTGTCTATTATTAGGTAAGATTACTGAATAATTATCACATATAACAACTCAAACTAATAAACATCTTCACATCACTACTGAGCCATAAATGAAGCCATTGCTAAGTGTTATATAAAGCTTCCACTGAGTCTTTCTTTCTTTCCTTTTTTTAAAAATATTTTTATTGATTTTTTACAGAGAGGAAGGGAGAGGGATAGAGAGTTAGAAACATCGATGAGAGAGAAACATCAATCAGCTGCCTCCTGCATGCTCCCTACCGGGGATGTGCCCGCAACCAAGGTACATGCCCTTGACCGGAATCGAACCTGGGACCCTTGAGTCTGCAGGCTGACGCTCTATCCACTGAGCCAAACCGGTTAGGGCGAGTATTTCTCTTAACATTTGTTTACTATATACCATACCAAGTATTAAAATATATTGTTAAAATTTGTGTAACAAGCACGAGAAATTACTTGCAGAGGATTAGACCTTAAGCTCTGGAATCAGAAAAATAAGAGTTAGAAACCTGACTCTGCCAGTGTGACTGTCTGTGTCCTTGGATAAGTTCGTTGAAGATTAATTGGATAATGCATGTCATGTATTTTGTTTTATATCAAACTTTATTTCTTTTTACAAGATGAGGATACTGAAGACTAGAGAGTTTAAGTACTCTGTCTAGAGACAGAGAAGTAGTAAGAGGCAGAAGTGG